GTAGCACAGTATTATATAGCTTAGGTTTACAGCGTCACTTCCGTCTGCTTACATCATGGGTTAGACGCTACTGGCTATCAGGAGAGGAGGGGGGGGCCTACATTTCTGTACAGCGCGACATCTTCCGACCGCCAGGCCCTAACTATCCACACTTAAGTCTTCACTGGTGTAAACTAAGGAACAGAGGAAATAGTCCTAAACATCAGCGAAAGGAAGGACTAACCTATAGATTCATATCCAGCCATTGCATACTAACAGTAATTGGTGTTCATGGTTACAATCCTTCCTTTAGGACAAGAGGAGTTGGCCTCAGGTTGCACCAGGGGAGGTTTTAAATTGGATATTAGGAAAAATTTCTTCACTGAAAGGGTTGTCAAGCGTTGGAAGAGGCTGCCCAGGGAAGTGATTTAGTCATCATCCCTGGAAGTATTTAGAAGACCTGTGGACGTGACACTTACGGATGTGGTTTAGTGCTGGATTTGGGGTTTGGGTGGATTTGGTGTTAAGTTTACAGTTGGACTCGGTGATCTTAAACATTTTTTCCAACCAAAATGATTCTAGGAGTCTATTCTATGATTCTGTGATTCTATGATTCTATATATATAGTAATTAGATAAATAGTATTTCTAAACTATATAAATATTATAATACAGTTTAATATAGGACTTGAAAGTAGAAGTTACATTGCCAAATCACTACAGATGTAGCCACTCTACAGGCAGCACTTTAAATTATTGATAGCTGAAAAGAAACATTAGCAATTAAGTGAGCATAGTCACACAAGATTTAGAATCCTTTCTCAGTTGTTGGGTTGGGCTTTTTAAAGAATGAAGATTGAAGCATATTTATTCATGCAAGCTTTGCAATAATTTCTTCTTCTTCTTTAACCTGGTCTTCTGAACTATCAGATAAAGCAACAGCTGGTAGAAGTTTGCATCCTCATTTATTGGCTCACATTCCAGTGTTTAGATGCTTGTCCAGTATCCAAAACTGTGTTAGGTCGAACTTCTAAATGTTGTGATACTGTACATACATTTATGAATTTTAGTTCAGAAAAGAAGTCAGATGTTCAGCACTTTTGGACGACAGACGTGGCAAAGATACTTACAATGTCTATAATACTAAAGATTGCACAGGCAGTTGCTCTTGCATTGGCAAATGCCTCCAAACTTGGTGCAGTCTGTCCAACACCAAAAGCTCCAAGGGATACAGAAAAAAAGACCAAAAGAGAACTGGGAATCCAGGTGTAGGTACCCAAAGGGCTTCTTTTAGCCGCCTGAGCCGGGGAGCAGTGGCAGCTGGAGCATAAAGGGAAGAAGCAGGCCAGGGGACGGGGTGTATTTTTGATGGGTGATATAATCATTATTGAACTTAGAGTTTGAAAAACTCCTGCCAGTTTTTGTGGTCATGCTGGTTATCTTGAGACAAAAGATCAAAAAGATGGCAAGAATGATGTTCCATAGTACAATACAAATAAATACATGTGCATGACCTTGGTTTGTGACCTTAGTAGATATACTTGTCTTTTTACCCACTTGCCTGCCTTTTTTGTTTACAGCTCTCACTGGATTTATGAGGCCTGTAAGACCATACACTCTTTGTGAAAGGGACTGCATCTCTGCATGTTTTGTGACGCTTTTTGAAATGAATAGAAAAGAAGTGAAAAGAAAAAATTCAGCAGCAAAGATATTAAAAAATACCCCTAAAACCTCTTCAGTCACTAGTATAAAAACAGCCAACATATGGAAACTTTATTCTCACCTTTCGATTTCTTTTTGCTGTCCTCCAAGTTTCACCACAGTTCAAATTACTGCCAGAACTTCTGCTGCAACATCTCCTGCTCTTGCATATGCAGTTAGCTCTTTGTTGGGGAATGCAGAATTTATCTGTGTAGAAACAAAATATTTTAACTGTCCCATTGAAACAAAACCAAAATGAGCTCAAGCTTTGTTCTGATGTCTATGAATTCTTAATTTATTATACTGAGTTTCCTATCTGCTCCATTTATACTTATTAAAGACTTCACATTTTATTTGCAAGGCAGCAATTTGATGAAGGGCATCACGACAATGTTTGCATTGCATAAAATATATTAGCTAGAACACTGCATGTTATCTGCTGCCAAAAAATGGGGTTGGATTTTCAGTTCTTCTATACTCATCATTACAGAAAGTTGAAGGAGCTGACTAAGATCCCTTACACTTAGAAACACTTGCACCACCACCGCCAGCAGTTCTGGTTTGTGTCAGGACACTCCATTGCCTGGCAAGCATGGGAACATTCATGCTCCTGACACACAGTAGGCTGCAGATGAAGTCATAGCAGAGCACCTACATGCTGTGAGGTATTAATGACTGTATGCATTAAATAGGGCTGGGATTTTCATCTTAGCTGAAAGGGCAAGGCTGGCCAGTGTCACTGAAGTTCAGTAATCAGTTGGTACTTGACACCCTGATGCCCCTCTGAAGTTCTAGCCAAAAAGCAATCATATTTCTATAGCTGGATTCTATTTCTCCCTCAGAGAGGTCTGCATCTACTTCTTGTATGCTGTTTTCAATAAGTTACTGGGAGCTGAGCAAATGGCAAAGGGACGATTTGGAGCCAAGTTCATGGTGTGCTGGCTGCCCGCTGTGTCTGCCTGTGTCCTTGTGCTGACCCTGGGGTCCTGCCCTCCTCGCCTTGGACTGGCCCCATCACAGGAAACCTGGCTCGCTGCAGGCTCGTGCCAGAACTTACTGTCAGTTACCTGTGATGACCTCAGCTGTGCCATTTCATTTCTGTACTTCTTTATTTTTACTGACCGTACTCCATTACTTTGGTGGGACACAGCAGGGTAGCTGTGTCTGTGATAGGGGCATTACCCTTCTTCAGCGGTACCAGCATCATCACGCACCTATTCACACCATTCTCCGTGTGAGCAAGGTCTAAATCCAATACCAGCCAGATTGCATTTTCAAGTCTTACAAGTACCAAATGCGATTATAGAAGATATAGCTTACCAGTTTATTGAAAACTCCTGCTTTTTGCCTACCTTTGCCCAGAGAGCTGAAGAGAATCTCAGAACAGGACTAAGTCCTAGGATCACAAGTGTTAATTCCCACCCTTTTGTAAAACCAACTATAAATGCAGTGAAAAATGTAGCCACTACCTGAAAGAACATAGCCATTTCCCCCCCTATTCCTTCATTAATCTTGGAGTTATCACTGAAAAAAATAAATTACATCCAAACAAGTCGGGAAGTGTGGAAAAGACAGAAACGAACTCTTTGGATACAGTACACTTTGTCAGTGCTCCATCGTGTTTCTGACCCCTGCAGTTCAGCACAGCTGCAAGTTTGCAGCCACACAGGACAACGAGCTGCATTCTCCAACACCTCTGTTCCTCAGGCTCCATTCAAATGATCCATACACATGTCAGGACCCAGATAAATAACAGCATAGCTTACAGAGGAGTTTAATAAGAGAAATTAACATTGTTCTGATGGAAGCATTACAACTGATTTTTGATAATTAGAATTAATACTCATTTGGCAATTAACCGATATTTAATACTTACTCCACAAGTCTGGTGTTGAGTTTGCCTGCTTCATTTACATCTAACCATCCAATCTCCTGTCTCATTACAGCATGAAAAAACTCTTGGATGATTCTTTTTATTTGCCAGCCAGCAACCAGTGTCCAAAATGAAACTTGAAAGTAGGCAGCAAAAAGAATGCCAGCTCCTATTCCAGAACAATGATATGCATATCTGAATGGAAACAAAAGGGTTGGAAACTGAATTAATTCTATTCCAAACAGCGCTAGCTACCACTTCTCTTTCCTTGGTATCATGAATATTTTTAAAGTTCTTCTAGAATAAAATTTCAGTTGTTATCTTTTGCTAACTTGTTATACAACTTCCACAAAGTAACACAAAATTTTTTAATTTAAGAAGTAATGGCTCAAAATCCATGAAGACATAGATTAAAAAAACAGGCTTATCATGACATATTTACTCTTAGAAATAATTTCTACAATGAATGACATTTAAGAGAGGAGTTTTAAAAATATTGAAGTGATGCAAAAAGAAAAGTAAGTTGTGTTTCAGGATATCCATTTAAGTTTAATGAAGACAGAGACATTGATCTTTAATTGTTTGCATGCTACCATCATTCAACTATTTTGTTTAGTCGTCTTTGAGAAATGTTAGTTTGGTTTAAAAAAAAATGTGTACATTCCCAGGGAATAATTTAAAAGAATTAATGTCTAGGTACTGTCCATACAATTACAACAAAATAAGGCTCCAAACATACAAAAAAAGAAAAAGCAATAAGGAAAGTTATTCTAAGTACTTTTTTTACAAATGAATGCCAAAGATTTTTTATTCACTATTATTAAATATATCCTATTTAAATTGAAAAATATTAGTACATTAATGAATAACTTAAAATTATATGAGTAGCTGAATGTTGTTCTTAATTGTTGTCAGCATAATAGGAAAAATACAAAAAGCAGCAAAACTGGGGAAATCCCAGAATTTATGTGTTTCTTCAAACATTTAGTCTATGCTAAAACACAACAGAATGATGTTAATTTTGGTTAAAAGTCCTTAATAATGATGGTTATTGTATCATGTCATTAGTAACAATAAATTGGAAAATAAAAATATATGATAATGTGAATTCTTTGTTCAATGACAAATCTTAAGAAAGGTATAGCTCTGATTTTGCAAGCTTTTTTGCATGAGAAATATACTCAAAGTTTGTGTTTAGATTCCAGTTCCAGAATTGAGCCACATAACTTTGATATCAATAATTCTTAATTTTTACCCCATGCAGAATTTGCCATCTGTGATTCCATACTCCAAAGAGCAGCCCATCCCGCCTTCCTCACAAAACAAATACCCTCCTCTGAGGTTGAACACAAAGACTAGGGTTTTCTTTCCACTTCAGAAAGGACCATGAAGAAAAATGAGCTAGGGCTTAAAAATAGTGGAAACAGAAGGAAAACCTGAGAAGGACAAAGGATGACAGGAGAAGAGATAGGGCACAGGTAGGCAGAGCGAGAAAAAGGAACAACTCCTCTGCACCCACAAACCTGCAAACTGCTCAGACGATGACACCACGTGCCTGCACAGCCTGTCTCTGAAAATAACTAGTGCTTAGCACGTTAGAAGACTGTGAAAAAACATTCTTAGATTAACATGAAACAGCTTGTCAGTGAGATAGTGTAATCAGACCAACTGTTGTATCTCAGTCCCTATTTCCATTTTATCTCATCAGAAAATGTTAAAAATGCATGACTATAGTAAGTTCTTGGCCTAATTGATATTTTTTAGTTGTGAGCACTGCAGATTTGTTGGGCATATAGAAAGTATTTATTCTATCAGTTTTAAATTTGGTGTCTCTCAGCTTCAGTCTGTTCTTTGTTCTTATGGAAGAAAAGGATACCAAAGAGTACTTGATTTACTTTCCCAATGGCAATCATTATTATTACTTGGGTGACATTTAGGTGGCTATTCCCCCATGTTTGTTGTGGTAAAGACTGAATGAAAACTGAAAACCTGGAAATTTAATGTAACCTCCATTATGCGTGACTTCATAATCATCCCATTTTGTTTTATTTCTGGTAGAGTACAAGGTGTTTGAGCAATGTCTTTCAGAATTTTGCTTATTATCAACAATTTTTTAACGTGTGATCCTGTGCAGTAAGAACATGGCATGAATAAATGTCTTGCCTAACAAGTTGTTATGAGCTTTTGACATTGATGGCTTTGCGTGGGGGAGGAAGAAAAGGAATAAATTCTCTGAGTTACAAGAAACTGCATCTCACTTTCTTTCATAAAACTGGATCCCAACTTCTCTAGCTGATATAGTTCTGTAAAAACAGCATCCACAGTTATCCTACAGCTACTACGGTCTCCTAGGTACAGTCCTTTAAAAAATTTATATACAAATAGAAAAAATGTGGTTCAGAGACTGCAAGTAATTAGGTGACTTTGCTAACTGATTTGGTGTCATTTAATTATGGAGGACAGAAAGTAGTTTTGGGGCTTTGCATGTGGTCAGTCCCAACATTTTGGGGATTTGTTAGGCATTAGTCAGACATTTGTGGTTTCGATGAAAAGGAGAAAGCCACAGAGCAGGAAGTTTGGAATCTCTGTAGAAGCCCTTGCAGAGCTGGCACAGCACTTGCTCAGTCGCAGGAGATCCCGCTCCCAGGACCTCCCTCAGGACCGGGGAGGGTGGCAGCCGTTTATGCATTGGCCTGTGCCTTACTCTCTTATGGTGGTTACATACAGAGAGAGGAAGGAAAGCAGCAGAGAAAATGAAAAAAGGTGAACAGAAAAGTTGTGGTAAGAAGAGAAGAAGCCAGCTTTGCAGGCAGGTAAAATGGGAGCCAGAGAGTGCAAGGGGAGGATGAGGAGAGAAGGAAGCGGGCAAGGAGGAAGAGCAAGAGCAGGAACACATCTAGAGAGAAAGGCATGAGAACTGTCATGGGAGGAGAACGAGCTATCCTGATACACGAGAAAAGGAGGAATAACCCTCCCTCTGAGCTCCTGGCAGGAAGGTTGTAGGTTTGCTGGAGCCATCTGGCACATACCGGGATTAGAGTGGGAAAATACAAGATGCCTCTGACTCATAAAATGGTGCTAGACTGAAGACATAACAAATCCAGAATTCCTTCAGTTGTGTTACATATTTATAGCAAAAATCTTGGGCTAAATATTAGAATAATCTTTAGAGGATAATTGCTTGAGATCTCTGTTACAAGCAAAGAATAACCATGAAGTGAAAGACCATTTTCCTATGATCTGATCATTTCTTCTGGCAACATTCCCATCAGAGCACAAGAAAAACCTTCTATAGAAAAGTTCACTGACATATGGTTCATTATAGAAAAAATTGCTAAAGATAAAATTAGAGGAAAGCATGTTAATTATTTTTGTTAAATTACTTCATAACAATTTCCTTCTGTAAACTCCTATCCCAACAATGCTGAATGAAGAATAAGAGCAGCTACCTAGCACTCTACCTAGCCCCTGACGGTGTTTAAGGGTTCTGGAGCTGTGAAACTCATTAAAAGCATTTTCTGAAACCAGAAGTGAACATGCTACCTGTAACATAACAAACAGTTTTAAAAATAGTTAAATTCATGTACTCTACAATTCTAGGCTGAATTCCACATTTCACATACAGTATTTACTCTGGAATGTGTGCTGGTTTTATGAATATTTATAAAACCAATACACTGGAGCTATAAAACTCACCTTCTTTAGTAGTGTTCCAGAATACTTTACAAATGTAGGTTCATAAGTAAGTAAAGATCAGAAAATTAATGAATATGGTATTAGGCACTTCCTTCCAATTGCCCAGGGGTCATGGTTTTATTTAATTAATTCTTGTTGCCAGAGGTTAAAGGTGTAATTAAATTGTATAAGGATTCATCTACATGTGAAGCTAATCAGGAAAGAGCAATTCTGGAATGTGCGTTTTGCACTTTAATTTCAGCATAAATGTGCCTTATTCTGGTTTGGCTCTGCAGTAAGAAGCGATTGTAACAACTTTTCAGAAATACGTCCTGCACTTCATATTTACACTTGGTTCAAACCTAGATTAGTTTTCTGGTGCACATACTGCTTAATAGAAGTCAAATGATGAGACAGATGTGGCAGCACTTAAGAGTGACTCTTTTGGGGATGCTTTGAGGAATATCATTATACCTCTGTGCATGTGATGCTCATCCAAATATTCAGACGGAGTGATGAACTCCTTTTGCAATCTATGCTTGACAGGTAGGTTAGGTGATTAAAATAAGCATAACGCTCTTTAATGAAGAGCATTTACCTGAACCATGCAACTGTATGAACACAGTGTTCGGTTCTTCCCCCTCTGCACATTGTCCACTTCTCTGTCAAGGAACAAAATGGTGCTGGAGAAGTTGTGGCAAATAGCATGGAGATCTTTGGAGAAATTCCATATGCAGGTAAAGTGAACGAGGCTCCCACAGGTTTTGAAGAAAAGGAGAAAGGCAAACAAAAGTGAATCTCTGGTGCTTCTTTTTGAAGTCTAGTAACTGATATGCTCAAACTCAGCAGCAGAAAAGCAATTTTTCTGATAATCTCATTCTTTTATCAGTCTGAAAGACATTTGCTAATCTCAGGAGAAATAAAGTCATGTAACACAGGATCATCTTCTTTTACCTCCTAAAACATTTCTCTAAGACCCACATTTTTTTATAATTCAAGAACAGAATTTTACATTTAGCTGACACAAATAGAGTAAATGTGTATTCCTTGGATGATCTTTCTCTACCCTAGGGGGAAGAAGAGAAAGCTTTCTTTAGTGAAAGAAAACTCATGTTTAAATGAGAAGATATCTTGTTCAAATGACAGAAGTAAGCTTGTATTAGGAGCCTTTTTTTTCCCTTGGTTCAAGTAAGTGGACCTATAATCATAGTCTTTGGGACACTTTAATATCCTTCTAAAATACACAGAAATTAGTAAATATTGAAATACCTAATAACTTTCGTGCTGGGTTGTATATTTTTTTATATTATTTACTGCATCTGATTTCTTTTAATAACTGGGGTTTGGTTACATATTTTAGTTTACATATTTAGTTTTGTTTCAGAACAGCTTCTGACTTCAAGGCATAGCGTGGTACATTTTACCTTTATCTGTTTCTTTTATTATTTCTCATGCATCCACTTATTTAACTCCTTAACCCTTATTGTAATTCTTTAAATCCTTTAAACCTGGCATTTCAGTTAATTAGTGAACTGTTTGTAACAGCACAGGAGACTGGTTGAAAGAAATACAGAACTGGTCAAATTAAAGCCCTGCTGTTTCTCATGACAGTGAGCGGACCAGTGACCCATCTGGCCCACAGCATAGGAGCAAACTTCTTCACTGGGAATAAATAGCTTGAAAAGAGCTGCTATTCTGCCCTTTATTTTTTCCAAATCAAAATCTTTTTTTTTTTTATTGCATAAAAGCCATATTTCAATGACACTAGGTGGCACCTACAACAGTTCTTACCTGGATAAGTAATGCTTTCTGAAGTAATAAAGCTATCTGTTGTGTCACCAAAGACGATCATCATAAGGGGGAGACCTGCTCCATGGAGTATTGCCAAGGTAGTGTCCACCACCGTGAGGAGTTCATTCCACCAGTCAGATTATAGAAACTGAAAGTGGAAACAGAACTGTGCTGAAAACTTCTCTAATTACAGCAAACACATTTGAGTGGCAATACAATGTTAACAGTGCAGAAGGAAGCAGTAAAAAGTAAAATAAGAAAATTTTAATACGTAAAACTGTAAGATTGTAACATAAACCATTAAGTTCTTAATAATTGTTTTCAGAATAATGGCTTTCATAAAACTTGAATAATAATAAAGTATTAAAAACTTAAGTTTAAACAAATTTTGCATTTTATTTAACTACATCAAACTGGAATTTAAATTTATGACTATAATTGAAAATAAAAAAATAAAATCTAAGAATATAGTATCTATAATAATTTCTCTACTTTTACAGTGTCTTAGATAGGTCCATACTTGGGGCTGGTGGGTATTTACCACTGTAAGAAGTTTCAAGGTCCACGTTTTTAAAGCTATATAAAAATGATGTCTACTGTATTGTTTCTATTTTAACTTTATTAATACTTCTCATGAAACAATGGTCATAAAAAAACCAAATATAATTGCATACTAAGGGGTGTAAGAGTTTTGTCTTACATTTTATTGTACACAAGTATACAAGTGGAAAAAAATGACTCTGGGTTTTAGTCAGCTTACTGAAGCCAAAAAATTTCTTACATTCAGCTACTGGACCTGCATGGAGGCAGGTGCTATGGGCTGTCGTGTCGCAACAGGGACATCAAAACAGGCTCTCTGTTCATAATAACTGTGAGATACCTTATCCTCCTTGTAGGGGGGTTGTAAATCACTTCTCATGTCCTGGAAGGGTAGTGCCTAGGAACGGTCAGGTCAAAGCAGCTTGGTCTGGTCCCCATGCTCCAAACGAGGAAGAAGAAAAAGAGAAAAAGGGTCAAAAATGTCTTCCTTGTTGCATAATAATGAGTCCTTGAGTAAAAATATATCTGTGGATGTGTAACAGAGTGGATATGTTCAGCATCCTCTGGCTTGTACAAGGCGCCCGTGTCAGTGTGCCAGTCTGGGGTACCCCAGGAGATGCTGGTTTGAGCACGATATGTCTGGCCCTGCTGCCAGAAAATAGGCGCGAGTGCTCAGGCCAGTTTGGGGATGTGGTTTCCAGGGCCACTCAAACCCAGAAGAAGAGAGGCTCAATGGGTTTTCCTCCCCCAGCCCGCAGTGATGGTCTGAAAGGCATGGCTATGAAACAAGCGTTTATATGGAGGAAGCTGTGCATTTTGGCATGTAGGCAGGGTCCACAGTGTCCCCCTTTGGCACCTTTGGGTTCTGCTGTGGCTGTTAAGTGAATGGAGTTGCCCTGCTCTTTCAGGTGGGTCAGAGCAGTTAGTGCTTCTTTTCCTCTGTGTGGGAAAGCAGGAATTACCAATGATGTGTGTTGTTCTTTCCTCCTGTGTACGAATTTTTACCACTAGTTTCCTGCAGGTTTTCAGAAAATGGGGAGGAAGATGTAAGCTCTGCTGAATGCAGTGCTAGCACTGGGAACGTGGAGAGTGCAGTGCTCATTGTCATCGCTTCTGTATTGTGCAGTAGTGGGGTTTTTTTGCTTCCTCTGAGGGGAAGAAGTTTTGTCTTAAATGCTGGAATTATCCGTCAGGAAGTGACAGGGCATTCGTTTTCCATAGGTGTTTGGGGAGCTGGAAATCTTTTCACTTACAAAAGAAAATTTTTTTCCCAAAGCTACCTCAGATTCTGCTAGACGTAAACTGGACTTAAACCTGAAAAAATCCCCAGTCTGCTACTAGTTAAGCATGAAATTGAATAATTCTGTTAATACAGTTGTCAATGACACTGAAATAGTACAGAAGTTGTGCTGGTATTTCCTTTCCTTTCCTAAAAATGTTGAAATTATTCCCCCTGAACCAGGTGTAATATTTCTTACTGGGTACGTGGGTATTCTGAAGCGTAACATTTGCCATATGCTTTAAGTATTTAGAAACAAAAGCTGTGGATGAAAACAATAATCCAAAACTTTTGTTGACTTAATTTGAGACAGAAGTTCCTTTTACTTGCATTAATATTCTGATGCTTTGCTTTTGGAAATCACGAGGCAAACACCTAAAAAGAGGGGTTTCCTCTATCCACAAGCAGGAGACAGCAGGGGATTACAGGCAGGAGGACTGCACCTGCTATTCTGATATTTGTAGGTGATAGTGTGAGAATCATAGTCACGGTCAGCATTTAGCTCTGGGAGCAGCTACACACACACGTAAACCCCTAAAGCTGGACAAGTGGGAGCAGCCAGAGAAGGCTGTGTTAGCGCTCCATGAGGCTTCTCAGAAACGTCAGCGCTGGTTTCGTGTCTCAAGCACCGAACTATTTACCGACTGAACTGATGTACATTTCCTCCACAGCTGGGAGCTGAAAGTTTTGAAATGTGTAGTTATATTAACTTTTTTTTCTGGATGAGACCAAATTTTCAGAGCAGTTTTTCTTCGAGATGATACTTGCAAATATATATACCAGATGTTTCTTCTTGTGAAGCAATCTTGTCTTAGACACAGATTCTTTGTCAGTGTAGAGCCACAAACCATCTCTGTATTCTCATGGCAGCCAGTTTTACCATTTTTAAATTTTTTTTTTTAAGATTAGTATTTTAATTTAGGTGACATAAAAGTGCATTGTACCTCTGTTTTTAAGTGTGGCATATTAAATTAAACCAAACATTGAATTTCCTGTCTACAGGTGCAAAATCAAGCAAGTATGTAAAACGTTTGTCTTCTGTTAGTAGGAAATACTAAAATCACCTAGGATAAAATACTGGTGGTGGTAAAATGTCTGTTGTCTTTCAGGTGAAAAATTTCTCTTTAACATAACTGTAGCATTTTAATACCATATTTTGTAAATTTCTGTATCTGTTCTTTAAAAATAAGAGGTGTGCTGGTTTCGGCTGGGATAGAGTTAATTTTCTTCATAGTAGCTAGTATGAGGCTATGTTTTGGATTTGTGCTGAAAACAGTGTTGATAATTCAGGGATGTTATAGTTATTGCTGAGCAGCGCTTACACAGAGTTGAGGCCTTTCCTGCTCCTCACACCGCCCCGTCAGTGAGTAGGCTGGGGGTGCACAAAGAGTCAGGAGGGGGCACAGCCGGGACAGCTGATCCCGACTGACCAAAGGGATGTCCCACACCACACAATGTCATGCCCAGCAATAAACCAGGGGTAAACCTGGCCGGGGGGCTGCTGTGGCTTGTAATCGGTCGGTTGGTGGTGAGAGATTGTTTTTCATTTTCATCATTTGTCTTTCTTGGCTTTTATTTCTCTTCCTTTTTTGTTATTTTCCTTTTTATTAATTGTTGTTGCTGTTATCATTATTATTATTATATTTCAATTATTAAACTGTTCTTATCTCAATCCATGAATTTTCTCACTTTTACTCTTCCGCTTCTCT